TCTCTTTGTTGGTTATAAAATTACGAACTCCGAATTCGGTATCTTTTTTTAAAGTTTTTTTTTATATATTCTCTTTTATTTGGCTAAGAAGATTTCGGCTTAAATTTTGGCGTCGTATGATGAGCGGGATGGTTTTTGGTTGTGTTTGGATTTGTTGCTAGTGTACAAGGTTTTAAGTCTTAAATAATTAATTTTTTCCCTTCAAATCGTTTCTGCACAGGTCCTTTCCGATGCTTTTCTCCCAATGCTTATTTCAGATGTTCATGTTTTGGCATGTTTTTTTTTCAAATTTGGTTGAATTTGTTTAGATAGATCTAGTTTTTTAGACATTTTAAATTTTTTTTATTTTGATTTTTTTTTTACTTAGCGACTTATTTGTATCGATGGCTGTATATAAGTTTGCCATTTGCTAGCAGCTGTTAAATCATAATTGAAAGTTTCAATTAATCAGTTGATTCCTGTTATGTTAGTGTCATCTGCAAAAAGGAAAACATCGAATGTGCTCCGAACTCTGGGTATGTCGTTGAGGAAAAACAGCGGTCCCAGAATGAATCCATGGGAAGCACCGCATTTACTAATTGCAGGCGATTTTTCATGTTACTTACTACCTAAATTTAGCTTTACCACGGAATCTTTACATTTACTAGTAAAAGTCTGATGATCAAGTGTATCGAACGCTTTTTTTCGAATCAAGGAAAACACTTTTTTTACCGGACTTGCTTTTATGTAGGCTAATTTTTTCTGTTACTTGTGAGATTGCGTCATTCGTATTGTTTTTTTACGGAAACTAAGTTGTCTTACATATATTTACGCATTAAATTCCAGGTATTCATATACTCTATTGCGCATTGAACTGAACGCTCACAGTTTTTTCTTCAAGTTATGAGCAGAGATATTGGTCTGTAGTCGCCTGCATCGAGTTTTGATTCTTTTTTATATAGCGAGTGGTCCAGGGCTTTGATTAACGGCCTGATAAAGCTGTTTTAATTGATAAATCAGCGAGATTTTAAGTGGGTACAATTGTTGGCCTACTTGCTCTAACAATGAATTTGCTAATATTGTCATAACCAGTAGATGTCTTATTTTGCAAATACTGAACAATTTTATTAATTTCAAATTTTGTAACTGTTTGCATATAAAAATTCGTTTGCTCGATGATATGATGCCAGTATGATTCAGGTGTTTTTGGCCAGATTAATACCGATTTGCAATAACAACATCCGTGTTAAGAGTTATCCGGTTGTTTTTTTTTGGATAGTATTTTTTTTATAAGGTTACAAATAATACCTTAGAGTTCATTCAAAATCTAATATACTTCTCTTTCATCTTTATCAATACATTTTCCGACTTTATTGTTATATTGTTTTTTACGTTGTTCGATTTCAATGACCGTTTTTCTATGCGGTGTCAGATCGAATTCTTGCTACTGTTGCTGTTTTAGTATTTGAACATGCTTTTTGGAGTCGATTACGTTTTGCCCTTAGTTTTTTATGTGACTAGTTGTCCATATCACTTTGGTTTTTCTTGCGTTAGCTTTTTCTGATCGAAATAGTGCAAACCGGTTTAAAACTGCTTCGTATTTTATTTGAAATTAATCAAACAGATGATCAATTGAAAGTGAAGTATCTGAAAACCGAAAAAATTTCCATGATTCCGATAATTTCTCGTTGAAATTTTAAACCTGCTTTTAACTAGATTAAAGCAGAAATTTAACTTCAGTTGTTCGCCACGCCAAGTTTTAGTGCATTATGAAGTTCTTAAAATAGTTTCTCAAAATTTATTTTCAAATATGGCCGGAACAGTAGAAAAGTGACGCGATTTTAAGGTAGTTTTTGGCCTGGTTGTTTAATTGTTCCGACCGATTAGAGAAGTGGGAGGGAAGTATGGCACAGAGTGGTTTTTTGCCCCATCTAGGCACGTTAAAAAATCTCGTAATGTATCAAGGTGGTATCATATTATAGCCACAACGGTAGTGATTCGAATCCAAAATCATTTTCACTCAAGTCTTCTCAGTGTCGAGAAAAACTGGTCTGCATTTTTTTTTCAAAATTTTCATACCATAGAAACTGAAACTCCAATCTAATTCTTGCGTTTTTTACATCTCAGCTGTTATCACCTATTTTTAATTGCCATCGTTTTTAGCATTTCATAATTTAAGTCAAAGGTAGTTCAGTCACCCGATAAAAACAGTAAAGACTTGCGATGATTAGTCGGTTCTGTGCTACTTGGATGGGAACTGTCTTTCCTTGCTTCAGTATTGTCTGATTGTTCCGACCATGGAAAATGGGGAGGAACTTGGTATTCGAGTGTGTTTTAGTTTTTTTCTTTTTGTTTTCCACGCAAAATCAGGCACCACAATTAATCATCGGACTAAATTGAGTGATATAATATATTGAAGCCCTGTCGTGATTCGAACTACATTAACATATTTCAAAAAAAAAATTCCAATGTTTTCGAGAGAGTAAAGCGAGCGAGCCTTTTTGGAATCAAAAGTTTCAAAAATTCAAAAAAGTGCAAGTCTTGAAATTTTTTTTAGAAAATTTGTTTTTTCTAGTAAATTTTCTAGAAAAATTGTTTTTCAATTTGCTTATTTTACTATGGCTGTCGAATATATCTATTTTATCAATTGATTCAGTTTTCTGAAATTGAGATAGTTTCACCAAAAAGGTGTCAATCATAAATTGTAAAGAGCTTCAAGACCATGTATTTTCACGTGATATTAAATAAAATATGTTTGTGAAAAGACATTTTTTTCTGTTTACTTGCCTTCGTTGACTCCTTTCCAACTGCCGGTTGGCTATGTTTTTCCCTTTGAAAGTCGAAAGATGAAGTTTTTTCAAAAAACAAGTCAGTATTATTTCTCTTTTTCCGTGCATTGACTCTTTTCCGACTGACTGTTGGCTATGTTCTCAATTTGAACATTTTTGAGACAAAAAAAATAATTTTACGTTATTTTAATTTTTTTCCCGCTGGTGATTAGCAAGCGTTATCAAATCGGAAAATAGACTTTAATTTTTTCATATTAACAACCTGTTAAACAATATCACTGAATCTTTTCGTCAGTTGTTGTGCCAAGATGGCTTAAGCATGTTTGCATTTTCAAAACCCAATTTTTTTTGCTGATTGCAAATTTTACAGCTATAGTTATGTAAAATTTCAGTTTTTTTGCTTGCTTTAAAGGTTTATTCTTCTTAAACTGTTTCGGCTTATAAAACTTGGGCTCAATTGTTTCATTAAAAAACCGTTGAATGATCAGTTTTTGGATGTGCGTTTTGAGTTTCAAAATGTTTTATCGCTCAAAATTTTAATGTCGTTTGCCTCTGTTTGCCTCTGTTTTAATAGTTTCTTTGTTTGATTTTTTTCTACGTTCTGATCATCATTTTTGCTTATGTTTGGCAAGTGCCGCGTGTCAAACATGCCGTCGAGTTTTTTTCTTCTGCTGCTTCTGGGTTTTGAATTTAAACATGAGAGGTTGGAATAAATTTTGATAAGATGCGAATACCGTTATTGCTTCGGATGTCCTGCCATATTTTCGATCACCGAATGTGTGGAGGGAAAAGATTGAATTCGGGTTTTTTTTTTCCGCAATAATCCTGGTACCAATAATCAAGGTCAGGTGGAGTCGATTGATGAACCACATTGAATCCCTTTCAGTGCCTTTCCCGAAAATTTGTGATTTCCAGAAGAAAAAAGCAGAAGAAGAAGAAACATTTGAAGTGAAAATCAAGTGTGTGCGGATCTCACTACGGCAATTTCTAAGACGAAAAGAATTGTTATTTTGATAAGCTGTTAATTAATGGGCCATGAAATTTTTTTATAGAATCTTCAAAAAAAGCAACTAGATTCAAGTTTTTATTAAGGATAGCAGGTTGCACTGCAAGTAGCACAGAATGTTCCGACCACATTAACAAATAAACTACAACAAGGTTTTTCTTCTAATTAGTGTCGTTTTTAGTGCGTGTGATTAGATAACGATACAAACTCGTAGAAAGTTAGTGAATTAGACATAATTGACAATATTTGTCCTCAGCAAATGAATGAAATTTATAAATAGTGATAAAATAAATTGTTTGTTTTTCAATTTTGTGCACAATTTTAAAATTTTGCGGAGAACATCTATTTACAAAGAAGCGGTAAATAAAACTTTTAAAACTAGGTTTGTTTAAGTAAAGTCGGCTAAAACTCTAAATAAAACTTAGTTTTTCATATAACGAATTTTACTCGATTGCTTTTCTCGCTCACACTAAACTTTAAAACTAGTTTCTCACCACTGGGACCATTTTTGAAAAAAAAACATTAAAGTCGTTTGAAACACGACTAAAATGATTTCATTTGATGTATTCCTATAATTATTTGTGGTACTTGATTTTACTTGAAAACAAAAACTAAAACAGACCCGAATTCGATGTTCCTCCTCATTTTCAATGGTCGGAACAACAAGTTTTTCGAGTTTTTTTCTTCGAGACTAATTATGACTGGCACCTTATGTGCTTCATGCACTGTGACAGGCTATTCTTAATGCAGCGGTTTTATAGTTTGGAAAAGAAGAAATATGTCAGGACGTTCTGAGCTACTTGGGTAGAATTCGGCTGTCCTTGTGTTGCTGACGTCTTTCGTTTCTTATTCAGATCTGCGTTTGCTGGTAGGCATGCCACATAAAACCTAGAAAATGTCTTAAATTTAACCGCCCGACCTTAATGTTGTGCTCTTGAGTAGACAACATAGTAGTTGAGAAACTCATAAAACTGTTTCATTTACGGGTCAACATAACTTCATTTTATCGACTTATTCACAACAGCTGTTAACTTGAAAAACTTATTTAATCAATAAGTGTTTGTTTTATAACTACTATCAGTGGCTGTTATTGAATAAGTCAGTTCAATAAATGTCAGACTTAAATAAGTTTTACAAATGAAAGCCCGTATCAGTTATTAATCTTGGCTTGTATCTTTCTATGGAGCTTTTGAACATTCTTCATCCCCTGTTTGTTTTTCAGATGAGTTGAATCGAACTGTATAAATTGCTTGAATTTCTTTAATTTGTACATACACGAATCCCTTTCTAATAAACCCAATCAAGTTGTTTGATTCTGGACTGGTGGTCAGAGACATCAGATGAATATTTGGCAGCAGCATTGCAACAAGCATCGTTATTTGTGACGACGTAAGGACAGTTGATCTAGAACATTCAAGAAGGTTCTAGGTTGCACTCTGAGGATATGATGATAACAGATTTCACAGATGACGAGACACTTTCACCCCATGAGCATTGTGCGACCACGGGTCATGCGTTCGTGAAGAAGACGTTCCACCGGCCTACCTGGTGTCACTACTGCACTGAGTTGCTTTGGGGACTAACAGGCCAAGGATTCGTATGCGAGATCTGTAACTTCGTGGCTCATGAACGATGTTTGCGCACACTATCGCAGTACTGCTCAAGTATCAAAGAGCTCTTCTTGGTCCAACCGCAAGCGCATGCTTTCATAGACATTGGAGCATTCAAGAAGAAATACTGCTGTGTTTGTAGACGTAGAGTAGAGCATAGTTGCGACTTGAAGTGCGAAGTATGCGAGGTGTATTGTCACTCGGATTGTCGCGACTTCGCCATTCGAGATTGTCGAGTCACTGCGCTGAGTTTCTCTGCCGGGAATCAACATGTGCTGAAGCATCAATGGCGTGAAGGAAATTTGTCGGGAAGTGCAAAGTGCGCAGCGTGTCGCAAGTCATCAGGTCAGCCAGACATGTTCACGGGAATGCGCTGTGACTGGTGTCATATTTCTGTTCACTCGGCTTGCATTCGTTCGGTGGATCAGGAGTGCGATTTGGGAGTGCTGAGGAACATATACTTCCCAAGAGAAGCACTACAGCTGCCAATCACTAATCTCTCAATGGAGGAGATACTGAGTTGTCTCAACCGTCGAAAGGCGCCTTCAGATCGACTCCAAATGGGCGATAGCAAGACGGATCAAGACGTCTGTTTCTCCGACGACGGAATCACGTACTCGGAATCAAGTAAAACTGAAAGCAGTGCGTTATCGGCTTCGGCTTGTGCGCCGAGTTTTGCGGGACTGAATGCTGCAGTGGCGGATAAATTGGCTCAATCGCATAATATGGCAATGGGTGGCGCTACTCCGGTTAAGCGGAAGGACAAGGCTAAGTTGAGGAGTAAAAGGAAAGAGAGCAGGGAAGCAGCCCACTTCGACGATGACTTGGACGACTCCGTTGTAGCAGATGCTGAGGACCCCTACTCGGATGTGAGGTCTAGTGTGGTTGTGAAGCACCGCTTCTTTCTCTACGACGGCAACCAGTCATGTGAAGCGCAAACTGTTCGAATAGTGTCAATGACCATTCGAGAAACAGCACTGTATGCTTGTCTGAAAGCGCTGCATATTTGCGACGATGCCAAAAAGTATTATTTCTTGGACGGAAATAAAATGGAACCGGACAAACCAGATCCTCCGGCCCTGGAAGACCAGCAAGTGATCGATATGATAGAAACGGGAACAAGAGAAGGATCGCAGCCGACATTCGTGATCAGATACAAGATATCCTCTCGAGGGGAGCCGATTAAAGTGTTTCTGCAATCTCCAAGACACTCGCCGCGCTTGAAGTACGTCAAAATCAACCACTCACTGGCTGCATCTGACATCATAGAAATGGCTCTGCAGAAGTTCGGAATCACAGATGAAGACATCAGCAGCTTCGTGCTCATTATGACTTCCAGCGGGCTGGAAGAGCAGTTGCTAGTCAGGGACCAGCTGGTTTGGCCTCTGGTGGAAAATAGCATCTTGAGAAACGTGCGAAATCTTCAATATATTCGGTTCTATTTGCGAGAAGTTTCTCTCATATCCAAGCCAGTGAGGGTATTTGTCGGCAATTTACCTCCCAAACTGGCGTCGCGAAAGTACGAGACATATGTGACAGATATCACCAAAATAAACCTGTCAAGTCGCGCATTCAACCCAGTTTACCCCCAGTATGGATGCTTAGTTGTGGAGTTTCCAAATCCTCAAGTAGCCAAAGAAGCAGTACAGAAGCTGAGAGCCACGTCGTTTGAGGACGGCAAACCAATTGTCGTTCTAGTGCTGCCAAAAGTGGACGTTGAAGCAGCTTTGAGCCCGACTGCATCCCCGCTACTAGTTTTTGTCAATGCCAAATCTGGAGGCTGTCAAGGAGTCAATCTGCTGACTCATTTCAGACGTCTCTTGAACCCCTTTCAGGTGTTCGATCTGGACAACGGAGGTCCAATACCAGGCCTGGTCCTGTTTGGAACTGTTCCAAATTACCGCATACTAGTTTGTGGAGGTGATGGTTCTATGGGCTGGGTGCTGAGTTGTCTTGATGATGTAGGGCAAGAGTCCAAATGCAGCTCTCCCCCAATCGCGATCCTTCCCCTGGGCACCGGCAATGATTTGGCCAGGGTTCTACAGTGGGGTGGCGGGTACACCGGCACTGACGAACCCCTGCAGATTCTGAAAGCTGTGGACCGTGCGGATCCCATTGATCTTGACCGCTGGACGGTGATCATGCAGGGAGACGAGCGGGAAAAACAGATCTTGACGGACCGGAAGTCGCTGAAGATGGAGGGGATTGATGTCATCAATGACGTGGATTCGAATGTGCAAATCATGAACAACTATTTCGGAATAGGAATCGACGCAGATATTTCGTTAGGATTTCATATGAAGCGAGAGGAAAATCCTTCGAAGTTTAACAACCGGTTACATAACAAAGCAGTGTACTTCAGAATTGGATTGAAGAAACTGTACAAGCCAAATTTATTCAAAGACCTGCATAATAATGTCAAGTTAGTAGTCGATGGTTCCAATATACCACTACCTCCCATAGAAGGAATAATCATTCTTAACATCGGCAGCTGGAGCGCAGGAGCTGATCTATGGGGTGCGGACCGGGAGGACAAATTCAAGAAACCGTCTCAATGCGACGGTTTGGTAGAAGTTGTGGGAGTCACAGGAATTTTCCATATGGGTCAAATCCTCAGCGGGATTAGAACCGCTTATAGACTGGCTCAAGGTCACGATATCCAGATATATACTCAAACAACGCTGCCAGTTCAGATGGACGGGGAACCGTGGATCCAACCTCCGGGTTGTATAACTGTGACTAGGTCGGCACTGCACGCCACGTTGCTTAAGAAGCACAAGTCCAGCATGAAGCGGGGCTCCAGGTCGGGCGAAGCGACTTCAGCGGCAGACAGTATGGCGCCGGAGCCAGCTAGTACTGGAAGCTTCGGGCCGGAAGACGAGGTCTCTGATGACGACGATTCGGACAAGTATGTCGCCCCAATTCACGGAATAGCCAACGCTCAGCTCAACCTCACCACGCAACGATACTAATAATAACTAGATGTAGTTTAATGGAGACTAATTATTTCTAATCAGCTATCAGCAGAAAACTCTTTTTTTCTCTTCGAAGTTTAACATTTGCGACCTCGTCTGTTGCTACTTTTCTATCAGATTCAATTATTAATGGCTTTGGTTGGTTTTCCTCTGTGACTATAAACAAAATTTGGCAGTAATTGTGCTGTGCTTTCACCTTGAAAATCTTTTTGAATTTTTATTTATGATCTCTCTTCTATATGTTGTAATTTTCTAATTTCCATTAACATCCATTAAGTTTAGTTAACCATTTTGCTGCAAGTTATTTCATCGTCGTTGATTTAGTACTTTCTTTGGACAGAAATTATTGGGAAAGTTTGTCTTTTACTTATCAAACACAATATTTGAGTCATATGCTGCTTTGATGAAATATTTTGAGTCAATTTATAAAGTGGGTTAACTCTATTGAACTGAATTGCAATGTTAGATTGGACTGTAGATTTTAGAACCTTTTGGGTATGACTGTGCAGTAATCTAATCTAATCTAATGATTGAATTTAATATTTATTGCCATAAGTCGCGATTTGAGAAGAGCTGGACGGTTTGAAGCCATGTTAGAAGTACAGAATGTTCCGACCACAGCAATCAGTGATTCATTCCTAGAAAATGTCTCAAGATCTTTTGCTTGAGACCATAATTACTATATCATTCGAAAGCAGTCGGTGCAAATTTCGATTTTAAGTCATTACTTTTCAAATCATTTTAATCCTACAAGTCTTCAATAAATCTACGAGTCTTTTAGGGGTATAGGATCTCTTTGACCTTTTTCCCAATGGTACCTAGGAACGACCCCCTATACATAACTAATTTAATGGTTGAAGCATATGTGAGTTTTGTACTAGTAACGAATCTCTCCCCCTGTTGTGATTAGGTGAAATAGTTTAAAAGGGGAATATGTGCACCCCACCCTCACTATACCATCAGCTCTTCTCATTTCATGTGGTGGGAACATAATCAAAAGAAGTAGAATGAAGCTTGATACTACCAAAACTGCTCCACCCAAGTACGGTCACGCATCGCATCTATGTTGTCTATTGTCATTTGTTTATAAAAATACTAGTAAATAAAGAAGAACGCAGGACGTCCTATTCTATTAGTTTTCTATTGGTTTGATAATCTAAATTATTCCTCAGTTATTAATCTATTTAATGTCGTAACTTTTGTTATTTCAATATTAAGATCAACCTGCGTCTAGACAAGTTATGGAACTTTTAAGCAGTCGATCAGAAATTAAATTCTAAAGTTGATCCGATTGGGTGTTAATGAACTTTGCGTTAATATTTTTTACTTTCGTTGATTTTGTGGTTTTTGCGAATGTTTACAAATCACAACTGAGGCGGAAAGTAAAAATTCGAATCTTTTTCAAAATACCTCGAGCTGCTTCGAGTTTGTCCAAAAACTGTCCTTAATATCCTGGAAACTTAATCAGTAATAGGCTTCTATCGCAAAATGGCTCTGTGTTATTTTTCAGCTGTTAACCGAAGATCTAATATGATGGCGACTTCCTTAGTCTAGTTTATGCAGATAATTGTCATCTTTCATTTAGCTCATATGGATCGTAATAATTGATCGTACAATAAAACACTTTAGTCCAAGTAATTTATGGCATACTTTTCACCAATCAGTTTCATTTTCCTAATTGCCTTCTTTTAGTAAAGAGCGATTGAATTAGGTTAAAAAAGCTGAAATAATGCGACGTAATTAGATCTGAAATCACGTAAAAACTTCTTCGAAAAGAGGTCAAACTAAATTGGGTGGCATCACATTCAGTGCCATCTAATTCAATGTCATTAAGTTGAAAATCGAAAAAAAAACAGACAAATTTTTCAGACCAACTTAGAAAATTTTTAGTTGTTTTTGGAATCCAAATCATGGCTGAAAAGGCTTTGATATGATTCCACATTTGACCTCTACAAGCTTCTTTGCATTAAAGAAAATGCGTTAGAAAAAAAAACACCCAACGCCATAGTTCCTTCCCACTAAGTGATCGGAATAATAAGATTTTTTATGAAATGACTGATAAAGTTCATTAACATTTTCCAAATTCACTTCGTAATTGTTCCAGTAGTGCAGTTTAGTTTGATTTGAATCTTAAAAAGCAGTTATTTATATACATCACAGCTTTCGTAAAAAGATAACAAAAAATGCTCGGCCCTATGCAAGGAAGTGATGAAAACCTAATTATTTTGTATAATTTATTTGGTAGTTGTTTAAATCGAATCCAAATTTAAATTTGTTTGTTGTAGTACTGCGTACAGATTACAGAATATTATTATTACGTCAATTCAATTTCCTTATGTATTTATTTTTCCTCAACATTAGATGATAAATGGAGTAGATTTACCCTGTAAAGATCGATACCAAGCTCGGAAAAAGTAGATACAAGATATCGCTGCGAGATCTAGGGTTGAAACTTATAGTGACGCAAGTTAAAAGGTTGTGGAAATGTCCGAGGTCGGATGTTCTTCTATCTCTAACAGTCATGTAATGTAATTACACTTAAGAAATGGAGCGTACAAACTCTAATTGATTGGTGAAATATTAAGTTATATCAGAACAATTATTTTATTGTATATTGAAATCTGGTTGGGTGCAAATATTTGCTTATTAGCTCTGTCAGAATTGTGGAAAGTTTATCTTCATTATAGGTTTTTTTTTCAATTTTCAAAAGTTTCCAAAAATCAATCTCAAACAAGACTATCCAAAAATCAATCTCAAGCTCTCGCTGGTGAAATAATACGACCGAAATGAAAACAGGTAAATAAGCCGACAGCATTAAAGCCGTAATCTAAATGACAGCATGAAAGCCGGCAGTGTTAAAGTCGACTTCGTTCAATACTGCTACGATCAGCATGATTTTTTCCCATAAACTCATGCTGATAGTTAAATTCGCTAACAGAATTGTGAAAGCTATAAATAGCAAATTTACTTATGCGCGCTCGTAGATGCTATACAGGTGGTACATGTATGTTATGTTGATGTGTATGGCAAGCGTTTGTACATCGTGATTTTTTCTTCGGCGAAAGTTCTGATGATTTTAAGCATATTGGATGTCGGCTTATTTACTGATGTTTTTCCCTCTCGTATAATTACGCTTGCACGAGCTAGTGTCTTGTTTGAGATTCATTAAAGCCTTTCAGGAATTTTTTGAAACTTGAAAGAATAAACTTGTACATCAAAAACGTATCAAAACAGATTAATTGGCTCAGCATGTAAAAAAACGGTCAATCAAATTTGTTTTTGTGAAACAAACTGAAAAGGTTTTGAATCAAAACAGATTAATTTGCTCAGCATGTAGAAAAAACGGTCGATCAAAGTTATTTGTGTGAAACAAACTCAAAAATTTTTTTAAAAAGGCTATTTTTTCAAGTTATCTTCACATTAATACCTTTGATCGATTTTTTTCCTACTTGTTGAGCGACTGACTCTGTTCTTCATGTACTTTTTGATACAGGTTATTGATTTCATGAGTTTTCCTTTGAATATGTTTTGGATCAATTTTTTCGTCAAGTTTTAAAAAAAACTTAATTTGCTTGCCTATTGTATTTTACTTCTATTTTTTCGGAGTGTAACCGGACTGTAGATTTCCGAATCAATCACTTTGTTCAAGGATGATTTTGGTGGTCATCTCCAAATCTGTTCTTTTGTCAAGCAACAACCATTTTTGAGAATGTCTGCATTGCATGTACCCACTCTATTCGAAATTTGCTTTTATGTTCGCTGTAACTTTACCTACTCCGATGTTATAATTTTAGGTTTTTGTTCTATTTTATTTTTATCTTTGGCTTAAAAGGTTTCGGTTTATATTATATCGGCTTACTGGTTGTTTTATTGTGTCGTTTGAGCCGCAAAAAAATGGGTTTTGAGTGGGACTACGAAAACATTTTTTGTCTTGTGTGTTTTATCAAATTTTGTTCCCATTTGTTACCGCTTGGCGTTTTTTCGAAGCTAGCTTCACATTCAATTGTTTTTTTTTCACATCAAGTGTTTTCTTTATGTACTTCACCCAACACAAATTAAGACAACTTTTTGTAGAGATGCTGTTTTTTCGACGTTTTTTCAATATATTTTTCGACCGGCGTTTGCGGGTTCTTCGCATTTATGCAGTTTTTTTTATGCAGTCGACTAGTTTTTTGCGGCATTTAATTGAGAAGATAGTTACCATGTTTTTGAATTATATTTTAAGTAGAGGGAAAGTATTACATTACCCTTAAATAGTTTATCTTTTTTTTCCGTTTTTTGACGAAACGGTTTGTTCTTAAATGTTTTCGGCTACTGTAAGTTGAAATGGGTGCTTTTTTGTCTGATTTGAAAAAAAAGAATCAGTAAGCTGTAGGTTTTGAATTATTTTTCCTCTATCTATGCGATAAACAAATTTTTGTCGCCTGTTTTATAATTTGTTGCATTGCAGTTATTTGCTGAGAAGACTTCGGAATCAGACTAAAAACGGCTGAAATTTTTGCACGTAAGTTTTTTTGATTGTTTAGTTTCTGATTTTCCTTGATTTTTTTTAAAAATCTTAGTTTGCTGTATCCTTCTGCGACAATTTTTATTTTCCATGAAATCTATATTGTGAAATTTTGCTGCCACAGTTGTTGACGTAACTCATTATTACCCTTGCGATAAACAAGGGTATTGCAATTGTGTACCAGACTTTTTCCCCGTAAAAAACGTTGTTCACAGGATCTCCAGTTACAAGATGTTCAATTTTATCCAAATTACACGTTGAACAGCTGTAATTTAAAAGCCGATCTAGAGCTTCTGAAGTGATATTGAAGTGTTATAGCTAAAAGCAGATATAAGTTTTTTGGCTTAATTGTTTTTGTCCCAATTTCTGGTCGAGTTACTTGCCGGATGTTCTGTTTCTGTTATTTTTTGATACATTTTTGAAGTTTTTTTTCTGTTTTTTCAAGAGGTTTAACTAAATATATGGTTTCTTGGATTTTATACATCAAAACTTTGTTGGAAAAGAAAACTTCAAAGTTTTCTGTTCTTTTTTGTGCATTCTATTTCTAGTTTCTTCGGATGCATGGTATCTGATATTTTTTCTGTTCTAAAAGTGCTTGAAATTGGTTTCAGTTTCAATTATTTTTGTGTGTTTTAGATTAGCAGTTGCTGGCATAGAGTCTTGTTTTAACATGCGACTGTTTTCGACTACTTCATAAATTTCCAGATATATTTTTTTAAATTTGCCTTGACTCTTGTGTCGACGAAAGAATGTGGCTAGTATATCAGGCTGCTTAGGACGTTGGATAAAGGTATTCACTCGCAGTTCCAAGTATAAATTGATTTATTCGCGTCTATAAGCACTATCTTTGGGTCAACAAATTTTCCTGATTTCAATTTAGAATCGTTTCTCAACTGTTGTTTGCCGTTTTCGCCATTTTTACATAACGGAGCGTAGTGTTCTATTACTGTATTATTTTTTCCAACCCAGATCCCAAATAAAAGTGTCCATCATTTAGTGACAGTGGCATTTCTATATCTGGTTTATTTTTTGCTGCATAGAACTATTCTATTTTAGTTTTTTTGGTGGCTTTTTTCTGTTCGATAGAAGACAGGTTATATGAAAGTGATTTGGTTTTTCTTGATTT